GCTTGAGCCCAGGAGTTGGAGGTTGCTGTGAGCTGTGATGCCATGGCACTCTACCCAGGGGGATAGCTTGAGGCTCTGTCTCAAAAAAAAAAAAGTATGGGTAGAGGCTGGTGTAGTAAGTCGTGCCTATAATCCCAGCACTCTGGGAGACTGAGGTGGGAGGACTGCTTGAGGCCAGAATTTGAGACCAGCCTAGGTCAACATAGAGAGACCCTGTCTCAACAACAAAAAAAAATTAAAAATTAGCCAAGCATGTTGGTGCACACCTATAGTTCCACCTACTGAGGTGAGAGGATTCACCTAAGCCCAGGGAGTTCGTGGCTTCTGTGGTCTGATTGTCCCAGTGCATTCCCACTGGGGCAACAGAGCAAGACCTTATCTCAAAAGAAAAAAAAGAGGGGGTAGGGAACAAGTTTCCAAAAATATACACAGAATGTTAATATGTACTGTGCTTTTGACACTGGGAATTAATCCAAAACATTTTATCTTGGCAACACTGGTTGACACTAAACATTCTTTTCTTTCTTCCCTTCATTTTGAGTTCATTTTTTGATTCTCAAGGGAGAGAATAAAAGCTGCAGTGACAGCAGTAGGGGTCACTGTCATATGCTTCTGGTTTGTTCTAGCAGCTTTGCAAAGCATAACGTCTCAGAATAATTTTTTTCTTTTTCCTCTTCCACCCCTCTTAATTGTTTCAGTGTTTTCTTGACCTTGCATTTCTATAATAAAATCACATCCTTCCTCTGTTTCTTAAGGACTGCTCTCTCATCCCTTTTTCTTTCCTGTCACTTGACAGAACTTCAATCAAAACTATTCTTTCTAGCTTTACTAGTATTCTTCCTTCCTCGATTTTGTAAAATGCTTACTCTTGTTGCAAGGGCAGATAAGAAGAATCTTTCTGAGTTGGTTTTAGAAGCCATCTTCTTGTACTCAGCAAAATAACCTCTGAAGGGCTCAGCTTTGTGGTACTGTCCTGAAGAGGAAAACAGTGGGTCCTGGGGTCTGCCAGACTTGGATTTGAATGTTGACTATGACACTTACTTGTGTTGACCTTCAGCAAATTTTTTAACTCAAGTTCAATGACTACATCATTCTAATAAAGATAATTACTTCTTCACAGAGTTATCATAACGATTAAATGAAGTAATATATTTAAAATCCCTATCACATGCTTGGTGCATTGGGGATACTGAATAAACATCAGTTTCTGTTGTTCTTATGAGGAAGGGATAATCTAGATAAAGAATCTGGTAATAGCGTAGCACCTGTGGCTCAATGAGTAGGGCGCTGGCCCCATATGCCAGAGATGGTGGGTTCAAACCCAGCCCTGGCCAGAAACTGCAAAAAAAAAAAAAAGAATCTGGTAATAGGGCAGCACCTGTGGCTCAAAAGGGTAGGGCTCCAGCCCCATATGCTGGAGGTGGCAGGTTCAAACCCAGCCCCGGCTAAAAAAAAAAAAGAATCTGGCAATATCAATACAGAGTAAAGCAGCTGCTTAGGACAGAGAAGTGATCCAGTGAACATTATTCCAAATATAACATAAGTAGCTTATAAAAGAGGACATTAAAAATACCAGGAAAATAGATTTTTGCTTCCAGGCAAGATGGAGTATCAGGGACCAGACTTAACCTCCTGTCAGAAACAACTGAAAAACTGTTCAAAATATATACAAGAATAGTTTTAAAGACACTGGATATCGTGCATGAAGGAAAGTGGTCCCTGGGAAACAAATAGTTCATATAACTTACTGTGTAAAGAGAGTTTCTAGCCTGAGACATAGGGAGAAGAAACCCATACAGAGAATGGTGATTTCCTTGGACTGAGGAGATGAAACTAGGAATTCAGGAAGGCCAAAGTGGCTAGAATTCAGACTGTATAGTAGTCCTCTCTTATCCATAGTTTCACTTTCTCAAGTTTCAGTTACTGGTGGTCAACCATGGTCTGAGAATATTAAATGTGAAATTCCAGAAATATACAAGTCATAAGTTTTAAATTGTGTGCCATTCTGAGTAGCACGATGAAACCTTGCACTGTTGAGCTCTGGCCTACCCTAATGTCATTGCTTCGTTTAGCGTATCCATGCTGTAGATATTTCCTGCTTGTTAGTCCCTCGGTCGTCATCTTAGTTATCACATTGATTATTGCTATATCACAGTGCTTGTGTTCAAGTAACCCTTATTTTACTTAGTAATATAGCCCCACAGTCTAAGAGTAGTAATGTGGCATATTGTTGTAAGGGTTCTATTCTTATTGGCTATTGTTGTTAATTTTCTGTGCTTAATTTACAAATTAAACTTTATCATAGATCTGTATGTATAGGAAAAAACCATATATTTGTGGTTTGATACTATCCCTGGTTTCAGGCATCCAATGATGATCTTGGAATATATCCCCAATATTACAGGGGACTACTGTAATGAAGAAGAGAGAGATGCCTAGAGAGAACTTGGGAAATCTGCAGAGGGTTCCCTTAGTCTTCTGCTGATATTGGTCAGTGCATGCATGTGAAGAAACTATCCAAAGCCAGAGACAGAATCACCAAAACAGATTTGAAACAATAATTCTCAGAGCTCACACAGGTTTGAGAATAACATCTGCTCCTTCCTATAAGAGGAGAAAATCTCATAAGGCACAGGGCATCAAGTGGAGCACTCAGAAGATCAGCAAACACTGAAGACTTGAGCAACACTATTAACTAACTTGACTTTATTGATACTTATAGAAAATAACCTTTAGCAATAGAAGAACATACATTCAAGTACACACGGAACATATACTGTATACTGAATCACAAAACAGGCCTCAGGCTGGGCGCAGCAGCTCATGCCTATAATCCTAGCACTCCGGGAGGCTGAGGCAGGTGGATTGCTTGAGTTCAAGAATTTGAAGGCTCGGCGCCTGAGGCTCAAGTGGCTAAGGCGTCAGCCACATACACCTAAGGTGGCGGGTTCAAATCCAGCCTGGGCCCACCAAAACAACAATGACAGCTGCAACCAAAAAATAGCTGGGCATTGTGGTGGGTGCCTGTGGTCTCAGCTACTTGAGAGGCTGAGGCAGGAGACTCGTTTGAGCCCAGGAGTTGGAGATTGCTGTGAGCTGTGATGCCACAGCACTCTACCCAGGGGGATAGTTTGAGGCTGTCTCCAAAAAAAAAAAAAAAAAAAAAAAAAAAAAGAATTTGAAAACAGCCTGAGTAAGAGCAAGACCCTGTCTCTACTAAAAATAGAAAACTTGGCTGAGCCTGATGGCAGGTATCTGTAGTCCCAGCTACTCAGGAGGCTGGGACAAGAGGATTGCTTGAGCCTAGGAGTTTGATTTGCTGTGAGCTCTAATGACACCACCACAGTCTACCAGGGTGAAAGGTGAAACTCTGCTTAAAAAAAAAAATTGTTTATTATAGAGTATTACTTAGAATAGTGAAAATTTGGAGGCAATCTAAGTATTGAACTTAGAACAGTTAAGTGAATTATGGTACACCTTCCTGATAAAACACTATATGGACACTAAGAGAATCACAAAGATCATCTAGCAATGTGGTAAATTAGATGAAAAAATGTACAAAGTTAAGTTTATTATGATAAATGTGTTAAGAAATAATAGCAGAAAGAGGACTACATATCAAAACATCATGTGGTACACCATAAATACATGTAAGTTTTACTTGTTAATTTAAAAATAAACAAATGAATAAAAAGGGAAAGAAATGCACCAAATTGCTAACTGTGCGATTATCAGGATGGAGCTACTGATTTTTTTCTTCTCTATTGTATTTTCTATTTTTTTATAATCTAGTTATATAACTTTTTCTATTGTCAAATTACTATAATTTTAAAATTTAGGTTCTCAACTGGGTATGGGTTTTAAGTAAGAGAAGGAGGACAATAAGAGAAGGCAGGGTGACTAACAGCAGGCTGACTGGGTCACTGGCAGCAGGCTAATCATGGAAGGTGCATGCGGGCCGCGGTTATTCATCAACTGAAAAACTGTATCAGTAGACTGCTCTCTTTTTAAGAAAAATGTTGCCACTATACTGGGATTTTTTTCTTTTTTACTGCCAAACCTATTTCTGTACCACAGCATGATACAGAGGGCAAAAAGTCAATAATACATAAGTAATATCGTTTCTTCTTTATTTTATAAAGTGAGTATGTTTAAAAAACATTTATCTTCCATAAGGGACTTTTCAGTTATAATGTTAATGTCTAACAGTAGTATTAGTCATGTTTTCCAGATGACTAATGCTTTTGTTGGCATCTATAATGGAAGAAATAATTTGGTCCCCAGAATGTGTATGCTGCTTCGTGTTCCTCAGCCAGTTAGCTGTCAGGGTGAAGAGATACAACCTCTTCTAAATTATTTCAGCTCTGTTACTTAAAAGCAGATTAAATAAATATTGGGTCCTTATTAAGGTATTTTGTGCCTACATCTCCCATTTATTTATATTGTTAGTAGATCTTCCATAAAACAATCTCTTGGGTCAAAAACACAGCTTTTTAAAATAAAGCTGTTTAAAAAACAAAAAAAACAGGCTCTTAAGACTAACTAGAGGCTCAGCGCCCATAGCTCAGTGAGTAGGGCACCAGCCACATACACCGAAGGTGGTGTGTTCGAGCCCTGCCCAGGCCTGCTAGACAACAACTGCAACCAAAAAAATGGCCAGGCGTTGTAGCAGGCATTTGTGGTCTCAGCTACTCGGGAGGCTGAGGCAAGAGAATGGCTTGAGCCCAAGAGTTTGAGGTTGCTGTGAACTATGACGCCACAGCCAGCTCTACCATGGGCGACACGGTGAGACTCTGTCTAAAAAAAAAAAAAAACTAACTAGAGGGAGAAAAAAGTGGGATGCAAGAGTAAAATGCTTCTTTCACAAAGGATGTGATATGTCCCTAAATGAGCGGATGTCTTTGGCTATGTCTCAAAAATACCCAATTTATTCAACACTTAATATGTGCCACTGTAGTAAGTAAGTGCTGGCATATCTCCTTCATTCCCTTCCTTCACACTTAGAGGTCCTTCTTTATTTTCCGTTAAACTTTAAGGATTATCTCAAGTAACATTTCCTTCATGGGGCAAACTTTCTTCTCTATTTTACTTGATAACTAAGTTTTTATGATAGCATTTCAAAGAATCATGAAATTTGGAGATGGAGGGGAACTTAAAGTCATCTAACCTAACTTTCTCTCAGAAACCTGAGAAAAATGACATTTTTCCAAGGAGTGCTGGTTACAAGTGAGCAATTTCAAGTGTGCTACATGTTAGGTAGCCCAGTCATGGTAGCCCTTGTGTTACTAAGGTCTGTCTGCTCTCTCATCTTCTAACCTCTTTGAGAAGACAGACCAAATCTTGTTCATCTCCAATTTGTCCAGGAAGTAAGCAGTCAGGTGCTACGTGCCTGCTCAGTAGATTTGATTAGAAAAGGTGCTACCCCAAGGAAAATCATGCGTTTGATTGGTCGAAATCAGCCAAAAGCAAAATTATGCCTGGAATTTGATGTCATCAAAAATTCTATCACAGACCAACTTGAAGTAGATTGGAATCATGTTTAAAAGATGCAACAGGAAGAGATATTCCATGGAGACAGAGCAATTCTGTTCTTTTTTTTTTTTTTTTGAGACAGAGCCTCAAGCTGTCCCCCTGGGCAGAGTGCCGTGGCATTACAGCTCACAGCAACCTCCAACTCCTGGGCTCAAGCGAGTCTCCTGCCTCCGCCTCCCAAGTAGCTGGGACCACAGGCGCCCGCCACAACGCCTGGCTATTTTTTGGTTGCAGCCGTCATTGTTGTTTGGCGGGTCCGGGCTGGGGATTCGAACCCGCTACCTTAGGTGTACGTGGCTGGCGGGTTGGCCGGTTGGGCTATAGGCGCCGAGCCAGCAACTCTGTTCTAATGAAAGCAGGGCAAGCTCTTCTAATTCCAAAGTCAAATAGGTGATATATGCTTTTCCCCCAGCTAAATTATCATTAATAGTGAAATAAAAATAAATGTTCAATAGATTGTTTTTCCTTAAAATATATACCCACATACTCTCCTTTTCAAACGTGCAAGTATATTCCCATTAGAAAGTCAGAATGCTATGTGAAAAAATTCACAAAACTTCTAGGAATGTTTTAAAATTTTGGTCAATTTCTCTAGCAAGATGCCTTACATCTGAAGTGTACAAGCATTTTTAAGAGGAATTATGGAAACAGCAGAAAGTTGGGAGATTAGAGTTTTAGGTTTTAGTCTGCCACTGTTCCACCTGCCTATTCATTTGTTCAACAAATATTTATTAAGTCTATGTGCCAGGCACTTTACTGTGCAGAGCAGTGAACAAAGCAATATGACAATTACATTCTAAAGAGAAAGACAATAAACAAAAGCAAGCAATAAAGAAGAGAAGTTCAAAATGTAATAAATACTATTAAGGAAATAAACAGGATAATAGAGTCATGGGTAGGGAGGCGGCAACAGGAATTGCTTTAGTCTAACTATGTATCACATATTCACCTACATAGTATCAGGCAAATCACCGAACTTTTCTGGGACTCAGATCTTCAACATAAAAAACCAAGGTTGAATTAGATGACATTAAAGTAGAAAGAGCCCTAGATTTGAAGTAAGAAAACTTCAGCTGCATCCTGGCCTTGTCTGTAAAATCCTACCTGTGCTCACTCTGTCAGGACGGAGAATGTGAAAGCTACTGGGAATTGAAGTCACTTTCAGACTAAGCCCACATACTAAGAGTGTTCCTTTCACTTCTTTTAAGATTTTGTACAACTCTCTGGATGTTAATTTTCATTTATACTACAGAAGACCTCTGAGAACTTCAGAAAATACTAGATTAAGTTTTTTATTCTACTACTTCCAAATAAGAAGCATATATATATATTATTTTATGTTATTTTAATTTTTTTGAGACAGTTTCACTTTGTCACCCTCAGTAGAGTGCTGTGGCATCATAGCTCACAGTAACCTCAGACTCCTGGGCTCAAGAGATTCTCTTGCCTCAGCTTCCCGAGTAGCTCAGACTACAGGTGTCTGCCACAATGCCTAGCTACTTTTAGAGGTGGAGTCTCGCTCTAGCTGGAGCTGGTCTCAAATTCGTGAGCTCAGGAGACCCACTGGCCTTGGCCTCCCAGAGTGCTGAGATTACAGGCATGAGCCACCATGTCGGACTTAAGAAACATATTTACTCCATGAATGGGATAATGAGTTTAGAAGACAGGCATTGATAACCCAATTGGTGATAATACATTTTTTTTTGATGCACATTAAAAAAGCAACACATAGTTTTTCCCTCTCTCTTTTCCTTCAGTAAGTTCAAGTCAATTAGTATTAGAGTAAAGAAAAAAAAAGTCCCGAACACTAGCAAACTGTATGTAAAAAAAAAAAAAAAACAAAAAAACTTGGCTATTAAGTTTGGCTACAGAGTCAAAGAATAGAATTCATCAGTGAAACTCAGCTTATCGTATCCAAGAAATTCAACTGTACCGAGTGTAAAGTGCCATTACTGGTCACTACAGGAGGGCGGGCCCATCGCTCATTTTCTAGTTCTTCCATTACTTGGTTCATGGCGCTCTTTAGCCATGTGTCCACAGAAACACCAATCTGCTTTAGCAGGTCCAGCCGGGCTTCAGCTTTCAACTTAATTATCTAAGGGAACCAAGAAAATGGTCAGAAATCAAGGCATTTTTGTAAGTTAACAGTTATTTCTGATTTATTAATTAGAACAGTCTTCATATTCACCAGTGGTTCTTCCTTGACATACATGCTAATTTTTCACTTGAAGAAGGAAAGAGGAGGATGGGGAGAAAGAGGGAAAAGAGAAAGAGACAGAAAGAAGAGGAACACAAGAATAGGAATCTGGGCCCGACAAAGGCAAATATCATACGTGAATTTTGGTAAGAGCACAATATTGATAATATATCAAATATAACTTATGAATAGAAGAGATTAATGTGCCAAAAAGTCTGCTTTCTTTTCCTGTTTTTTTTTTTTCTTTTCTTTTTGCAGTTTTTGGCCAGGGCTGGGTTTGAACCCGCCACCTCTGGCATATGGGGCCAGCACCCTACTCCTTTGAGCCACAGGCTATGCCTCAGAACATCCTCATAGCTATCATTTTCTGTAGCTTTCTTTTCTTTTTTTTTTTGAGACAGATTCTCACTATGTGAGCTCTCAGTGTAGTGCCGTAGTGTCACTGCTCACAGCAACCTCAAACTCTTGGGCTTAAACAATTCTTTTGCCTCAGCCTCCTAAGTAGCTGGGAGTACCCACGCCCTCCACAACACCTGAGCTAGAGTGAGACTCCATCTCTAAAAACAGCCGGGTGTTGTGACGGGTGTCTATACTCCTAACTACTCAGAAGGCTGAGTCAAGAGAATCTCTTGAGCCCAAGAGTTAGAGGTTGCTGTGAGCTATGAAGCCAGAGCACCCCACAGGGGGCAACAAAGTGAGGCTCTGCCTCAAAAAAATAAAAATAAATAAATAAAAACTTTTATTATCCCTGACTGCCTATTAAATAATTAACAACTTCTTCATTTGGAATAAAGTGTCTTTCACAATTTGGCTAAATTACATCCTTCTACTTCTTTCTACGTACCCTAGGCTCCCACACCACTCTCCTACTCACCGTTCCTCCAATACATCATGTGCTCTCATGCCTTTGTTCATGCTAGTTCCTCTGTGTACAGTGCATTGTCATTCTTTTATGATGCTTGATAACTCTTATCTTTTGAGGGTCAATTCAAATGTTATCCTTTCTGCAAAGATTTTCCTAAGTATTCCTCCTCCTTCTTTAGGCAGTTAATCACTCCTTCAGCTGAGTGTGAGTTGCCTTTTGATCTTTTTCCTAGCAGCCATGGGATTTTAAAAATAGCTGATTTCTTTCTTTCTTTCTTTCTTTTTTGAGACAGAGTCTCACTTTGTCATCCTGGGTAGAGTGCCGTAGTGTCACAGCTCATAGCAACCTCAAACTCTTGGGCTTAAGCAATTCTCCTGCCTCAGCCTCTCAAATAGCTGGAACTATAGGTGCCCGCCACAATGCCCAGCTACTTTTTTTTTTTTTTGGCAATTTAACATGTACCCTTGTAAAATGCACCATAGGTGTGGTCCCACCAATTATCCTCCCTCCACCCATCCTCCCCCCTCCTCTCCCTCTCCTCTTTCCCTTTCTTTTTGGGCAATAGTTGGGTTATAGCTTTCATACGAAAGCTATAAATTGGTTTCATAGTAGAGCTGAGTACATTGGATACTTTTTCTTCCATTCTTGAGATACTTTGCTAAGAAGAATGTTCCAGCTCCATTCATGTAAACATAAAAGAGGTAAAGTCTCTGTCTTTTTTAAGGCTGCATAATATTCCATGGTGTACATATACCACAATTTATTAATCCATTCATGGGCCAATGGGCACTTGGGCTTCTTCCATGACTTAGCAATTATGAATTGGGCTGCAATAAGCATTCTAGTGCAAATATCTTTGTTATAATGTGATTTTTGGTCTTCTGTATATATACCTAGTAGAGGAATTGAAGGATCAAATGGCAGGTCTATTTTCAGATTCCTAAGTGATCTCCAGACATCTTGCCAAAAGGAACGTATTAGTTTGCACTCCCATCAGCAGTGCACAAGTGTTCCCTTTTCTCCACATCCATGGTTGTGGGGTTTTGTGATGTGAGCTAATCTTACTGGGGTCAGACGATATCTCAAAGTAGTTTTGATTTGCATTTCTCTGATGATTAAGGATGATGAGCATTTTTTTCATATATCTGTAGGCCGTGCATCTGTCTTCTTCAGAGAAGTTTCTTTTCAAGTCCCTTGCCCACCCTGAGATGGGATCATTTGTTCTTTTCTTGTAATACGTTTGAGTTCTCTGTGGATTCTGGTTATTAAACCTTTGTGGGAGACATAACCTGCAAATATCTTCTCCCATTCTGAGGGCTGTCTGCTTGCTTTACTTACTGTGTTTTTGGCTGTGCAGAAGCTTTTTAGTTTGGTCAGATCCTAGTAATGTATTTTTGGTATTGCATCAATTGCCCGGGGGGGGGGGTCTTCCTTATAAAATATTTGCCCAGGCCGATTTCTTCAAGTGTTTTCCCTGCACTTTCTTCTAGCATTTTAATAATTTCATGTCTTGAGTTTAAATCTTTAATCCAGTGAGAGTTTATCTTAGTTAATGTGAAAGGTGTGGGTCCAGTGTCAGTTTTCTACAGGTCACCGGCCAGTTCACTGAGCACCATTTGTTAAATAGGGAATCTTTTCCTCACTCAATGTTTTTAATTGGCTTATCAAAGATCAAATAATGGTAAGTAGCTGGGTTCATCTCTTGGTTCTCTATTCTGTTCCATACATCTACCCCTCTGCTTTTGTGCCAGTACCATGCAGTTTGATCACTATCAATTTATCATATCCCCTGCTTTGTTTTTATTTCTGAGTTATGGCTATGTGAGGTCTGTTCTGATTCCATATAAAACGAAGTATTATTTTTTTCACGATCTTTTTTGAGATAGGAGCCTCAAGCTGTCCCCCTGGGTAGAGTGCCGTAGCATCACAGCTCACAGCAACCTCCAACTCCTGGGCTCAAACGAGTCTCCTGCCTCAGCCTCCCAAGTAGCTGGGACCACAGGTGCCCACTACAACACCCGGCTATATTTGTTGGTTGCAGCCATCATTGTTGTTTGGTGGGCCCTGGCTGGATTTGAACCTGCCACCTTAGGTGTACGTGGCTGGTGCCTTAGCCACTTGAGTCACAGGCGCTGAGCCTTTTTTCGAGATCTTTAAAGTATGACAGTGGAGCTTTAAAAGGGATTGCATTAAAATTGTATATTGCTTTGGGTAATATGGACATTTCAACAATGCTGATTCTTTCCAGCCATGAGCATGGTATGTTTTTCCATTTGTTAACATTTTCAGCTATTTCTTTTCTTAGAGTTTCATAGTTCTCTTTATAGAGATCTTTCACATCCTTTGTTAGATAAACTCCTAAATATTTCATCTTCT